GGGGGGGGGGACGGGGAGAACTCCCCAAGAGCGGCACAGGCAGGGGAGAGGCAAGCCGGGATTTGGGTTTGAATCCCGGGGCCCCGACCATATAGCCCGACCACGGCCGGCGCCGCGATTGTTGCTCGCTGTGTTGTGGGTCTGGCCGCGCGCATCCTGGTGTCCCCCGCGCGGCGGTAGCAGCAGGGCTGCGCCCGAGGAGAACATTGTTCGCTTGGCGCCAGGTGGGGGGGGGGAGGGAGGGGGGTACGGCCGCGTCTATGGCCCTGGCTGCCTGGGCCCGGGGGAGGAGGGCCTCTTAACAGGGTAACGAGGATCGTCGTGTGGGGCAAGGGACCCTCCTTTTTTTCTTCGCTTTTTGTGACCAGCACACACGCGGGGTGCTCCACTGATATTTAACATTATTATTTCGCGGGTTTTCGCCGGTCTGCGTGGCGGCTTCTCAAGCAGGGGGGTGCCTCTTGTCCTGTTCGCGCCCTCCCTCCGTGGCCCTCACAGTCGGGCGGGGGGGGGGGGGAGGGGGGCTCGGGTTCTGGCCTCCCCTCCTGTCCCCTCCCGTTGGGCGCTTCTCTCCGGCCGCCTGGTGTACCCCGGGCATCGCCGCCCCCCCCCCCTCCAAGCCGCCGGTCGGCGTTCCTCCAGTGAGATCGGCTTAAATTAACCCATGGCCGAGCTGCCAACCCTATGTCAGGTGGCTTCTGGTTCATTTGCAGATGCGTGTGAGAGAAGGCGGGGGGGCCAAGAGAGGAAGACTCGGCTGAGGCGGGCTCTGGGCCGGGGGGGGGGGGGGGGGGGGGGCGGCAACAGAGCGAATCCCATCTGCTGAGTTCATTGTTGCGTCCAGCGCGTGGGGATGCCACTCGGGGGCAAGGGAGGCTACAGAGGGGGGGGGGGGGAGACATTCGCCTCGGCTGAGGCGAGGGAGAATGTCACAGGGAATGCGCCACTATTACGGGGTGGAGGGGCTGGCACTTGATTATTTGTCCAAGGGGGATGAGGGGTCTCTTTTTCCCGACGCTACAGATCACTTGCCGTGGGGTTCTCCTGGCGCCAGTGCGCGGCGAAGGGGCAGGGCGGGGGGGGGGGGATCGCATGCGAGATCCCCTAGCGGGGGCACTGCATGGTAATGTGTTTCTGGAGAGAAGGACTGTGGGGCCGCCCTCCTCCCCCCCCCCCCACCCCACTTTCCCCCTTGCATCCTCGCGTCCAGGTGTCCCCCGCTCGATCTGGCCAGCGGGGCGCGCTTCTAGCTGAATCCAAGCGCCGCCTCTTGGGGACATTTGTCGCGCCCCCGCCCGTGCGCTCTTCGCCCGAGAGTCCAGAATGTGTACTTGGGATCTTGATCCGCCTGCCCCCTCCCGGGCCCGAAGGCAGACCCGGTCGCATGGTCCCCGCCCCCCCCCCCCCCCCCCCCCCCCTCCACATCCTCCAGCGGCGGGCCCATTTCCTCCCGGTGGAAGAAGAACGGTGGGAAAGCGCACTCTTCAAGGTGGGGTTGTCGCCTGTGCTCGTGGGTCCCAGTGAGCGCGCCGGAAGGGGGGGTCCCGTGGGGGTTCCGGGGGCTGGGCTCTGATGCGTGCGCCGGGCCGAGGACCCAGGAGAGAACGGCCTCGCTTCTCCGCTCGCGAGGGGCGGGCGGGGGGCGGGGGGTAGTTGACGCGCCGGCAGGCCGTG